TCAGTTCTACTTAACTTAGTTAATAGTATGCCCAGACGTATTGGTGATGTGATTGTAGGGAAAGGAAACAAGATTAATAGTTAAAATTTCGTATACTTATTTACTATATCTTGAATAAAGTTTATGCAAAATTTCAAACAAATTCAACCGTTAGTTACCAAGCTGTCAGTTTATTAGTAATTCTCATTACTTTTGCACAGCACTGTAAAAGAAGGCTTAAAGTTAACTATTTATGAAGAAATATTCTGAGTTGCGGGTTAAATTGTTTATAAATTTATTAATCATGCAAGATGATAACAACAAGCTCCCATAGCTCAGTTGGTTAGAGCGTGGTGCTAATAACGCCAAGGTCGCAGGTTCGACCCCTGCTGGGAGCAATCCTTTTTCTTATCAGTAGACCAACAGTATTGGGAAGAACATCTGAAACTGCAAAAGACTCAAATACACCCACACGTTCATATTCACAATAATTTTATTAAATTAAATGTCATAATTATTATATTACAGTCTTTTTACTAAATCCTACGCTTTTTTTCAAACCGGTCAAGTGCTGTGGGAGGTTTCTCAATTTCACCGAGCGACCGCTTTTGTCTCAATTCCCTTTGTCGCGCAAGTTCTTTTTCAATCGACAACTGAATAACGAATGAGAATATTTAGGAGGTGCATATTACGTTATTAGCAAGTCAGATAGTGAAATGAATCATAATATATTTTGAAGTAACAATCGCACGGCAACGACAAAAACTTTTGATTACATACTCGTTTGTCGTCAATGACATTCTTTTGCTTTTTACGAAGATAGCGTTTGAGAGCAGTATTCCTGCCGCGCATTTTCTTCTTTTCTTTCGCTGGTTTGGAGTTTTTCTTGTTTTCCTCCTATTTTAAAAGATGGAATTATTGAAATTACACCATCGCGCGATAGCTGAACATCACATAATCGCCATAATCATCATAATCATACTTGTTCTTGTTTTCTTTCTTTCTCGATAACAGCTTTGGAAGCTCGGTCTATCTTTCCAACAAACGTTGTGTCAAGGGTAATAGCCTCTGGTTGTATCTAAAAGAGCAATGAACATTTACATTGCATAATAGAGAATCAACGTTAGTTTGTACTCTGAAATTATTTCACCAGTGTTTCGTTCCACAATCTTCATTATCATTGTCAATTCCTATAACCGCTTACTCTAAATCACTCTCGAGCCAACATACCTTCTCTAAAAGAGCATGCACTTCTGATTCTTGCCTTTGCTTCTTAGTTTGGTATGGATTTGCCTCTAAACTGTCGAAATTGGGCTCTCCTGCGCCGGGCACGACTAGACTCGAAATGCCTGACGAGTATCCTACGCCTAAAATGTCATCGTACGGACAAAAGTGCATATCATGTATTTGAGTGCCCCGTTCGATGTGAGTCATGTATGGGGATTGTTGCTTTGTGGTAAAGGCATCTTTCCAGACCTGTGAGCAAGTTTTGAATTATAACGGAGGTGTGCGTATACATAGTAAATATTTCGATGTTAATACATATGTACCGTTGTGGAAACAGACATCTTCATACATAACGTACATACCCATACATGTGGCCCCCATCCGACTCCTAACAACCCCAATTGAGATATTGATAGACATGCAGCCGGCGTCGGTGTATAATATTCGTGAAGTGATTTGTAAGTTCTTATATCCCAAATTTTCAACTGCCCGTCTAATCCTGATGTAGCCATATATCTGCACAAGAAGAATGGTTTGTGGATGTCGTATCATAGTATAATAGACGGTGTAGATATACTTTTTTTTTATTCATACTCACTTTCCGCTATGATCAACAGCAAGTGCTTTCACTGGACCTTTGTGTGTAAGCATCTTCACCAATGGAGTTGTCATGTTTGGTGACCATAATGTCACTGTGCCTTATGGCATTGTAGAAAGTCTCAGGATACACTTTATTGTGATTACTGATCAATAACAGCACTTGCATTTAAACCAAGCCTACCATTCACATGTCCAAGATGTATTATGGCATTCCATGGGTTTTGTGTCATAGCGTCACATTTGCCGAGTTTAGTACGGTGTTCACATACAAGTTTTCCAGTTGATGTATCTTGATATTTGAGCCATCCTGCATTGCCCTAATAAAGAGTTTGTTTTTTTTTTGTACTTGTCTTGACGATATAACCAATGCTTCAAACAGTACTTACCACAGTCACCAATAAAAAATGGTAAGGAAGAAACTCTATCTTGTTCACTTCAATATGTTTCTTAAGACAATGTAATTCCAACCCGTTGTGATCGTATATGTAAACATACTTTTTCTGTGCAACAGCAAAGTATAATTCATTATGTAGCCATCTAAATAATAGTGGTTAGAAACAATCAATTTGTGAGTATCAGAGCATACGAATGATTGACGTCACGTTATTCATGAAACGCATATTTACACACTTGATATCCCGTATATTCTCCTTGACTTGAAATTCACACATTTTTTTATCTGAAGGCCAGTTATATGTTGCAATATGGCCCTTGCGACCAGCTATGGCCATGTGGCTATTGACAGGTTATGAAACGTTGTCAGTATTTGTATTGTGTGTTTACGTGTATAAGATTGCTTCATACCGTCCATTACGCGTGTAATCAAAAGCATATGGACCAAACGTAGGAAGACTAATGTCAAATCTCTAACAACGGGAAATTACAAATCATGAGTAGTGATTCCCTATCAAGCAAGTACAAAATTGCAGCCACAAACCTTTTTTGAGACTTCCTCATCCACTGCGCTAATCAATTGATCTTGCGTAAAGTTGTAAGTTTTTTCCATTCCCTCTGCTTCCAAGTATCTACAAAATGTGATTCCGTTAATGATGTCATTACAACGACTTGTCATAAATGAAATCAATGCAAACAGTCCATTGACAACACACCCAGGCTCCTCAGTGAGCAGCATCTCCGTCCTTGCCGCTTTCTCGGCAGCATCGGCATATTTTGACTCTATCCGCTGAAGCGTTCCTTTGACCTTTTTATCTTTTATCGACTTTTAATGGTTCAATAATGCATGAAAAAATTAACATAAAAATACGATTTGTAAATAATGCGCTTCATCAACGCGCAATTTTACTATCATTCAATCATGACTGATATATTGCAAACCTTTAACTGCTTCTTTCCCAAAACTGTCTCCTTTTGTCGAACATATTTGGGTATATTGAGAGTAATCCCTTCGATATCTTTCGCTTCCTCTTGTTTTGAGTTGACGTTATTGTCTTGCCTTGCGGCAGTTTGATCTGTTGACATCTTTTGGAAAACAAGAATGGCGAGCAGAAAAAATTCCTATTATTAAAAAATTTAATTTATCTTTATCATCCAATAATCACCTTGCGTGATTCTGCCCAATCAAACTTCAAATCAATCAACTGCAAACAAAAAATTTTCCCTTCCTCTCTTCCTCTCTCAACGTCAAGTGGAGCCAACATGGTGAGTTTCGTCACGGTTCTCGAGAATCTCTTTACTAGAAGACATTTTTCTAGGCGTAGGCGGTATCCTCGCAGGTTAGGATTTTGTTTTATGTAGAGCGAATTACATTAGTGGGGACAAGCGAAGAATAAAGCAGGAATGAGAAAGGGCGGACAAAAGTAGCAAGTAATTCGAGCCGACAGCATGAGACAGAAAATGCATGCAAATCGTGGAAAATAGGATGGTGAATGGTAAATCAATGGAACAGTACGTCGATACTATTCTTAACTTTCAACTTGTGACCGGATGCTTGGGAATGCCAATTTATTGATACCAACAAGTGGAATTGGCGCAAATTTTATTATCAAAAACAAAAGGAAGACCCGTAGAGACTGCACATAGGAGGTTGCTCCTCTGTAGGAAGATTCATGTCACAATGACGATTGCAACAACATAAACAATTACTTCCACGATATAATTGTTGATGATCCAACTCGAAGCATTCATAGTCAACACAACACACTATAACACACTGTATATTTCAATCGAGAAGCTGATCCTAATAAATAACTAATTTTTTCTTTAATCTCTCAATCCATTCCCATACTTATTCTATGTCAACCTCTAAATATCGACTCTCCTTTTCATGCGTGACAGGGTCGTGTCCGAACGAAAACCGTCAAAAAGGTATGGTGGTCGAGTTGAAATGGAGATAGAATAGATTGAGCATACGCTTGATAAGAATTGAATTATTAAATAGGTGAATGGTCAATCGTTTTAATTCCTTTTTTTTTTCATGTACACCTTTTGGCACGTGGGAATTTTCTTAACTAGGCGTCCCGGCTTGTTATTGAGAAGTATCACCAGCGTCTCACCTACGACTTCCAAACAAACAAAAAGATTTGCGATGAAGTCGCTATTATCGCGTAAGTGGGAAACTTTATAACTATCAATCTCTAGATGAGCTGTTCCAGTTTTACATATCATTTTGTACCCCATCCCCACCCCCACCCCCGGATCTCATCTTCATTCTACGTTATGCGTCTTTTTTTTGTCGTCCTGTCTTTCTCACTCCCTACACCTTTTTTCCTTCTTCAGTTCTAAACGGCTTCGCAACAAAATCGCTGGTTTCGTCACACATTTGATGAAACGTATCAGACATGGGCCAGTCCGTGGTATCTCATATAAATTGCAAGAAGAGGAACGTGAAAGAAAAGACAACTATGTTCCAGACGTCTCCGCTTTGGCTGTTGAGTCCATTGAAATCGACCCCGATACTCAGGTACGAGTGTTTGATTTTTATCGATTCTTTGCCATCTCACTTGTTAATATCACACATGTTAATAATTTTTAGGAATTACTTAAAAATCTTAATTTCGAAACACTTCCCGGAGTATCGGTTTCCACACCGGTCCCATTGAATACGCTATCTGATCGTCCTCGTGGACAGAGGCGTACTGACCGCCCGCCACGTGCCCCTACGGATATGTAACGTCCCCCTTTTTATTAGTTCATTCTTTCACTTTTAGAAATTACTGTTTGATTCTGTTTGAGAGAACTTTTAAAATAAATCTGCTGCCTATGAAGTAGCTTATGAATAACAGTTTTCAAATCAGACAGTGCGCGAGAGGGGATAAACAGATTGGAAACAAATAGTTGAATCAATTATTGACTTGAAATTTTTGGCCAAAAGTGTAAATGGAGCGAATCTACCAGCGAGGGTCGCCCTAATAAAAGCTACATGCTCTTGACTATATTATCATTATTAGTGGCAAATCTCATTTGGCGGTTACTAGGATTATATGTGATTTTAATTTTGCGTTTAGTTGATGAATTGTCATCGCTTTAGTCTTTGACTCATGTAACAGAGTTTAGCCGAATTCAGGGTAATTCAATATTAAAAGTAAACGGGTTTGTGTGTATCATTGGCGCGGAGACAGATGTTGCCTTCTCGTACCTGATTCCGTAAGCCAAAATATTTCATTTATTCGGAAGTCATCTATATACCATCTAAGCAGAGATCAGCTCCATCTCCGCAGACGCGCTCATCGGACACGATTGCTAGTCGATTCGCTTTCTGTTAACAAAACAGTGGAGTTTCCTGATAAAACTCAACCTAAAAACTACAGTATTATGAACATCGTTTCTAAGCAAATAGATTTTCTTTTCATGAGGAATCTCACAAGCTGAAGGTCTTGATAAAGTATGGTTCGACATGATATAAACGGAAAAAATTTTCAAAGTATGTGCTTTGGTTTCCCATTAGCATCTATTGACACTACAATTAGCAGAGGAGCTTTCATAGCCACGATGACAGCAGAATGTTTTGTCTACCTTATGGTCGGAATGTCCGCTGTACCTGCTTACATGGGCCCATCGTCTTACTTTTTGGGACGTCAGCGCGTTTTTCTTGGGGGGTGTTTTTTTATATCGACTGTACTATTCACTAATAAGTATTTCTGCAAAAACCTTTGCGACGGCAATTGGAAACGTTCATTCTGCTGCTATATATTATTCACAAAGGATTACAGGGAATCAGTCTATCAGTAAGAAACGCGATCTTCAGCTTCGGTGACAGACGAAAAATACAAGTTCTGGAAATGATTTTCTTAACTTCTGTTTTTGCTCGCTGTGTTGCTCTCCCAATCTGCTTTCTGAAGTCAAATGACCACAACATAGAAATAACGCGCGTGAAGACGACGATAACCAATTCATAACAAGTGCAGCGACGAAATATAAAGTTACTATTAATCGACGCTTACATGTCTATTCAATTACAGTCACGATTTTGACATTAATAAATTTCTTATCATTAAGTCATGTAATTGATGAATGGTTATAAATAGTCGCTCTAGGAATGATGTAATCACTAAGAACGGTTGCTCATAAGTTACATACAGTGTGTTAAAAAAAAACGGCGGCGACAAAAAGGTGTATATCTCAACAAGAACGAATTTAATTAAACAAATTAGGCTTATTTAAAAGCTTATTCGTTACTTTATTTAATGGTAAATTTTCAATATAAATTTTCATTGCCGTTATTCAATAAATTTGTTTTGCCATTTGTTTTATGGAGAAGACAAAATTATTATCAATCTCCTAACAACTAAGAGCTTGCAACTTATAACTCTCATTGACTTGTCAGTAAATTGTAAGTTTTGTGTGTTTTATGCGAGTATGCTTTCAACATTATGCAATTAATTCCTTGGTAACACGTGATGTGTGGTTTGGATTATTGTCTTTGCAAACGCCAACTCTTTCCATAAGATATTTATATAATAACTTCAAGTAGCTATCTGCCAATAAATCAAGAGTATGAAGTGCAATACCTGTTTTCATATTCTGAGGTGTTCAGAGTAAACACCATATTTTCCATTAAGAGTCAGTCCTTTTTCGCCCATATTTTTGTAGAAGACTGCCCCAATGATTGATCGTATCTTATGTACTTGCGCGAGCGGTGAGTAAGTGGTGCTTCGGCGCAGCGTTGCGTTGCATTCTCACTCCATTACTCTGTCTCTATATTGTCTTAGAGCAGTTGACTCCGCACAACGTTGAATATATCACCGTACACGAGAATATCCGTATGATTATCATGATTCTTCGTGCCACAGTGAACTGTCTAAAAATATATGCTTTCTCATTATAATTGAGCGGAAGCAATCCAACAATGCCACGTTATTTTTGCTTTAACAAACTATTATAAATCCTTCTTCGACGACTTTAGCCTAGATTATACAGACTTTCTGTAAGCGATAATAACATTGATCGATCAGCGATATAATGTTCATTGGTCTTTCCGGAAACATTAGACAATATCCCGGCGATCGGTTAGTTTTAATTTATTACTAATGACGACTGATCGTAGTTAGTAATTTGGGTTTCAAATTTGGTTTTTGTGTGGGATATACAGTAACGTGCAAAAGTATCCTACCGGTTGTATCATCTAAACGTACATAATAATAACTCCTTAAATTTTC